TTAAATCATGTTAATAGTAAATTAAAAGAAAGCTGGAGTGACTACATGAAAATCAGACAAAGTAGACTTCAGAATAAGCATTAATACCACATATAAAGATGGACGTCTCATAATAAAAAAAAGAGGAATCAATTTATCAAAAAGACAGTGCAATCCTAAACACACCTAATAACAAAACTTCAAAATACCTGAACTCCAAGTGGACAAAACTGACAGAGGAAACAGACAAATCCACCAACAGAGGTGCAGATGTCAACACTCTCATTAGTTGATAGAGTAGAAAGTCCGTTAAAATGTAGACAACTAATCACTCTCGACCAACTTGATCTAATATATACAGAACATATTCTATGGCTTCTGGTGGCTCAGTCGGTTAAGCATCTGCCTTCAGCTCGGGTCATGATCTCGAGGTCCTGGGATCGAGCCCCACGTCAGGCTCCCTGCTCAGCAGAGGGTCTGCCTCTCCCCCTCCCTCAGACCTTCCTCCCCTCTTGTGCTCACTCTCTCGCTCTCGCTCTCACTGTCTCAAATAAATAAAATCTTTTTTTCCTAAAGATTTTATTTATTTATTTGACAGAGAGAGAGACAGAGAGAGGGAACACAAATAGGGGGAGTGGGAGAGGGAGAAGCAGCTTCCCACCAACCAGGGAGCCCGATGAGGGGCTCAATCCCAGGGCCCCAGGATCATGACCTGAGCTGAAGGCAGACGCTTAATGACTGAGCCACCCAAGTGCCCCAATAAATAAAATCTTTAAAAAATCTTAAAAAAAAAAAGAACATATTCTATCTAGTGTACATGAAACAGTCACCAAGAAAGTTCATATACTGGCCATAAAACATTAAATTTTTAAAAACAAATTATAGCTTATATTCTCTAACAAGAACATAAATAAATTAGAATCAGTAATAAAATGATATGTGGAAAATCCTCAAATATTTGAAAATGAAACCACATGCTTCCAAGGATCAAGGAAGAAGTCACACACGGAATAAGGAAATAGCACACACTAAATGGTAATAAAATCACAACATATCACAATCTGTGAGATATACCTAAAACAGAGCTCAGAGGGAAATTGATAGTTTTAAATACAGAAAACAAGAAATGTCTACGATTAATGACCTAAGCCTCCATCTGAAGTTAAAAGAAAGTAAATGAAACCCACAGTAAGTAGTGCGCGTGGGTGGCTCAGTCATTAAGCGTCTGCCTTCGGCTCAGGTCATGATCCCAGGGTCCTGGGATCGAGCCCTGCATCGGGCTTCCTGCCCTGCGGGAAGCCTGCTTCTCCCTCTCCCACTCCCCCTGCTTGTGTTCCCTCTCTCGCTGTGTCTCTGTCAAATAAATAAATAAAATTCTTAAAAAAAAAAAGAAATCCACAGTAAGTAGAAAGAAGACAACAACCACAATAAAGGAAAAACCAAAGAAAGAGAAAACTGAAAAAATTAAAAGATGGTTTTTGGAAATGATCAATAAAACTGACAAAACTCGGGGCTCCTGGGTGGCTCAGTCGTTAAGCATCTGCCTTTGGCTCAGGTCATGATCCCAGGGTCCTGGGATTGAGCCCCGCATCGGGCTCCCTGCTTTGCAGGAAGCCTGCTTCTCCCTCTCCTGCTCCCCCTGCTTGTGTTCCTGCTCTCGCTCTCTCTCTCTCTCTCTGTCAAATAAATAAATAAATAAATAAATAAATAAATAAATAAATAAATATCTTAAAAAAAAACAAACAAACAAAAAACTGACCAAACTCTAGCTAGACTAATAAAAGAATATGAAAAGAGAAAATACAAATCACCAATATCAGGGGGAAAAATGACTTTCCTAGAGGTCCTACAGACTTTAAAAGTATCTATATTATAAATAACTCTATACCAATACACTTGACTACTTAAATGAAATGAACAAATTACAAGATTGATACAAGGAATAGCAAATCTGAGTAGCTCTATATCTAATGAAAACCTTGAATTTATAATTGAATACCTTCCAATAAGGAACACTATGGGCCCAAATGGCATCACTGTTGAAGTATATTAAAATACTCAAGGTGTGCCTGGGTGGGTCAGTTGGTTAAGTGTCTGCCTTTGGCTCAGGTCATGAACCCAGGGTCCCGGGGTTGGAGCCCTGTGTTCAGCAGGGAGTCTGCCTCTCCCTCTCTTTCTGCCTCTCCCCCCACTCATGCTCTGTCCTGCTGTCTCTTGCTCTCTCAAATAAATAAAAAAATCTTTAAAAAAAGAAAAATTCGGGGCGCCTGGGTGGCTCAGATGGTTAAGCGTCTGCCTTCGGCTCAGGTCATGATCCCAGGGTTCTGGGATCGAGTCCCGCATCAGGCTCCCTGCTAGGCGGGGAGCCTGCTTCTCCCTCTGCCTCTGCCTCTCTCTCTCTCTCTGACTTTCATGAATAAATAAATAAAACATTTAAAAAAAAAAAAGAAAAAGAAAAATTCAAGGAAGAATTAAAAGTAAATTCCACAATTCAGAAAACAGAAATGAAGAGAACATTTCCCTGCTCCTCTTAAAGAGCCAGAGCTGCCCTGATACCAAAACCAAAGATGAGAACACTACAAATAACATCTCCTAGTCCTGCCACCACTACACAGACATAATACACAAGAGTCATAAGATTTGAACTGATATCCAAAAAAGAAGAATGGTCAATAAGGTCATAAGAAGAGGTTCAACATCATTAGTCATCAGGGAATCACAAACTGAAGCCAGTATGAGATAAAACCTTTACGTGCCCAGGAAAATGGCTAAAACTAAATAAGACTGACAATACCAAATGTAGACGAGGATGTAGAACAAATCAAACTATAATATATTGCTGACAGATGGGAGTGGAGTGAGGCAGGAGTATGACACAGTCGCTTGGGAAAATAGTTTTAGTTTAGTATCAAGTTAACCTGAATTCAACATATGACTGAGCAATTCTACTTTTTACCATATAGCCCAGTATTTATCCTTGAAAAAAGAAAACTTAAGTCTACACAAAGGCTTGTAAGTGAATATTTATAGATACTCTCTTCTTAATAGCCCAAATCTGGAAAAAACCCAAATGTTAATCAACAGGTACATGGATACACAAATTCTGATATTTTCATACAACACAAATAAAAAGGAACTCAGGAATAAAAAAGAACAAATTACCAATACATTCATGAACATGGAAGAATTCCAAAAGCAGATGCTGAGCTAAAGAAGGTAAACACATATACAAAAGGAGTACACACTGTATGGATTCCATTTACATGAAATTCTAGAAAAAGCACAACTTAACCTATGGTGACATAAAACAGATCAGTGATTATGAGGGGCCAGTGGTGGGGGTGAGGCAGACTGCAAAGAAACATGAGGGGACTTGTGGCGGTGTCGGAAATATTCTAATTCTTGACTGGGCTGGTGGCTACACAGGTGCATACACCTACCAAACTCCAACTGTACATTTACTAGGTGCATATTAAGGCTGAAGGAAAAGAGGGTGATGGCACACATACAGGCAGAAAGTTACATGCCTACCTCACATTATTCACAAAAATAAACTGGGCTCAAGATAAGCATAGAAAACAAAATTGCAATTACATTAAGGTAAAAAATAAGAGGGTATGCTTATGATCCTGGGGAAGGAAAATGCTTCTTGAACAAGACATTGAAAAGTAAAAGCTTCATAGAAGAGAACGATCTACTTATTCATCAAAATTAAAATCTCCCAGACCGTAATACTTAAAAGGACTCTCACTGGGCAATGTATTTGTAGCACACAGAAGAAACTATTAGAATCCAGAATTCAAACAAAACAACACAAAAAGAACTCCTCCTGAAACTCATTAGGTGAAAGATGCAACCCCAAGAGCAGAGATTCACCTACAGAGTAAATTCACCTACAGAGAAACCACACGGATGACGATGTGTAGAGATGACAAACCTGACTAGCAATCTGGGAAATGAAATGCCATTCTGCGCTCAAAAGACTGGTGCTTCAGATAACAAATGGCGACGTGCATGCGAGGAATCAGAGGGAATATAAGTGGGAGTACTGACTGGTACAACTGATACAGAGGGAATTTGAGAATATATATTAAACATACCGTCTCAGTACTCAACAATTCTACTTCTTACTTTACACAAAAGAAACTCATATGCACACAAGAAGGCATGAAAAAGATACCACACAAGCAATGTTTATGGAAATGAAAACTTGGCAACAACTTACATACCAAAGGGAAATAATTCAACTAAAATACATTTATACTATAGATGCAAATATAAGAAACGAAATATCTGTATATGTAATCTATGACACTTAGTAACACAGAATGACCTCTAAGGCCTGTTGCTGATTAAAAATCCAGAACAATAAATCTGGGCAGAAATAAATTCAGAGAGAGAGTGCTTACGCATAATGATCACATATGTATGTCTGCAAAAGCATGTGAAAAGACTTGCAAAGGTATGCATGGAAGTTGCTCTGGTGAGATGGAAGAGGCAACACTGGGAAAGGCTATTATTAGAGGTCCTGGTCAAACTTCCACAAGGAGAATATATTCTTCTATTATTCATGTAAATATAAATTAATGTTAAAAAAAAGAAAAGCACATCTGCTGATTGTAGTTGAACTTGGAACTGTTGTCTGAGGAACCTCTTTCCACAGCACATCAGTATGGCCTGCTATGTCCAGTGGAAGGGGGGGGTCCTCAGGCAAGAGCGTGAGAAGCCCTTACCCCCTGGCAGCGCTTACCACCTGCAGCCTAGAACAGTTTGCAAGAAACACTGATGCTTTTTAATTCTCTTCCCGATTGCCTTCAAAGCTTTTTCAAGAACCTCTTAATCCAAGTCGCTCTTGATTCTATTATCTTGTTTTGTTTTCTTCATAGCAATGATCACTATTTGAACTTATATATTTATTGTCTGTCTCCCACTAGAATGGCAAGACAATTTTGAATTCATATGATTTTAGTCAAGCCATTTAGAGTTTTCTAACAGTATCAAAGACACATGTATTTACTTACCTTAGTTGGAAAAGGAAATTTGGAAGGTTCTGTTTTGCATGGTGTATGAATAGCCGTTAGAGGGGGAGGCCATGAATGCGTCATCTCCTGAAATGTAATTATTACAGTTTGTTTTCAACCAGTTCAAGGATAAAAATTACATAGCTAAAAACCAGATTTGTATTATAAATGCTGGTTTCATGATAGGTCCTTCCAAAAGTATACATATTTAATCAATAAATATTAATTAAGCACAATTGTGTGCAAGGCACTATGGGGCAGGAAATAAGATAAATAATATCCACTGCCTGGCTTCAGGGAGCTTGGAGCTAAGATGATGAAACCTATGAATCATCACAGAAATAAGCCTGTAATCAAATACAAGGTACACAGTACAATGTTACTGAAGAAGAGCATGCTGTGAGAGCGGGAGGGGCGGGTAATAATAAGAAAAGGAGCTAACATTTATTGTGTACCTTTAATGGGCCAGATACTGTGCTGTTTTACAGGTCTGTTACTTATTTAGTACTCACAATGATATTAGGAGGTAAATACCATTATTACCCTAACTCTATGTAGGATGAAACTGAAGCACAGAAGTTATTTATTAAAGGCCACACATTTGTGGACACAAATGGACACAAAATTTCATCCTAGGAAGTCTGGCTGCAGAGCCCATTCGCTGATGGGAAGTTTTGGTCAGGTGGAGGAAACCAGAAGAGAGATACCAAAAGCACACGAGAAGGAAGACAGACAGGCAGGGCCATAAGTATGATTTCATTCAATGCCTTCTGTTTAATCACATGCCAACTATGTTCAAGTGGAGATTTGGATAAGATCACAATGTGTATGTTAGAGAAGCAGGGGAAAGAAAGATATCAGATTTAGAATAAGGAAGGAGTGTTTTATTTCAAAGTTCAAAGTAAGCCATTAGGTAGACTGAGAAAATACAATAAGGGTGGTTTAACTTTTAGGAATTTACTCTGTAGCTATACCCACACAGTTAGGTAAAGATACATGTTCAAGGGGCCTACACTTCAAAAATGGAAACAACCTAAATATCCAACAGCACAGAATAATTAAATTACCAGATAGCCATACAATGAAACACCAAGCAGACAGTAAATGAGGAATTTAACTACTGATATGGAATGTTGTCCACAACGTACTGGTAAGTGATAAACAGAAATCATAGTCTATGTCCTAGTAAATGTTTGTATATGAAAAAATATATATGAAAAAAAAAAAATCTCTGGCTACGTTTGGGCAACAGACCAACAGAAGGGTTTCGAAAAAGACCTGGGCACTTGGTACAGTCTCTACTACTGGAACTTTGTAAAACAGCCCCCTGCACTGTTAATTGCTCTTTATCTTCTTACAATGCTTTATTTTTTAATAGCATTTCACTTTCTGAAATAATATTAAATAGTTGATTATTTCCAATATCCAGCAAGAATGTCAGCTCAAAGGGTGCAACACTATCATTATCACCACTGTTATCCCAAGAGCTTGATACATGACAGGGGCTTCATTAGCAAACCATGAATTAATCTTGCTTGTTTTTACAAGAAACAGTTATCATTTTTAGATTAAAATTTTCTTCTTTAAGTTTACGATGGAGTTCCTAGAAATAGTATGACTACAAAGATCAAGAAAACATGAAGGCAATTTGGACCTGCAGTTCCTTATGCACTGCATACAGGGAAAGGAAACAGAAACTCAGGCACTCTAGGTTTTCAGTGCTGGCATTTTACACCTCAAATACCAAAGTACTTTCTACAGAAAATCTATTTAACTCCATCATTAAATGACTGAGCACCCATTACACCCAAGGCCATGTGCCAAGCCCTATGTATATAAAATGAAGACTAAATGGTCAGTATCATCAAAGAGATCATCAAATGTGAGAATATCTAAGATTCTACCAGGTATTACAATGCCATGCATCTTTGAGGATTCAATGAGAAAAGATAAATGCTCTGTTACACTTTTCATATACATGGCAACTGAAAAATGCATATGCTATATGAGATTCTTTTTTTTTGCTATGTGAGATTCAAAAGAGTTATGTGATCTGATGGTCTGACACAGGGGAAAGAAGGATTACACTGGGATTCTAAGAAAAAACCATCTGTATATGACTAAAGACAAAGGAGAAACATATTTCACGAAAGTTTACTTTAAAAAGGTAAAAGAGCAAGAAAGCGTATGGCTTAGTGAAACCAATTTGACAAAAGTGGTGTTCAATAGCGAGAGAGGTTAGAACCGGCCTGTGAAAAAGGTCTAGAACGTTGAACTTGGACACTATTCTTTCTATGGGGATTAGAGACAGAGCCACTGAAATGTCTAAGACAGAAATTAACTTATGAAGACAATGGATTAAGAGAGAATCTGGTAGCAATACAGAAGACAGATGAGCAAAGCGAGGACGGTAGATTGCAATTCTTGAAGCTCAAGGTGGCAGAAATGGAAATAAAGGAGTGGCATTTTCAAGGAAAATTCAAACTGTACATGCCGTTTTGTGATTAAACAGAACATGAGAGAAAATTAGAATTTTACACTTAGAAGCACAGGAGAATGGTGGTACTACTAAGAGAAGGAAGTCTGATAAATCTGCCTTTGGATATGTTCAGTCTAAAGAAGCAGGGAGAAACGCAAATGGACACATAGCTACGAAGGAAGAGAATAAACCACAATTCAGAGGAGGCCAAGGAGGAGAGAAAGACTGAAGAGTTAACAGGTGAAGCCATAACAATGGAGGAAAATCAATATGGAGCAGAAAAAAATGGAGAAGCTAGAAAAAAGACCCATGTTGAAAAGAGAAGACGCCAAGGTTCCCAAAAGGCAGAGAACGAGAGATAAGAAAGGTGGATGGAAATAAAAACAGTGAAGCATAATAACAGGCAAGGAAGGAAGAATGAGGTTTCTAGAATGAAAAACTAAAAATTCTTGAGGACAGCAGAAAGGGCAGAGAACTCAAATGAAGCCCCCAGTGAAGGGAAAGACCATGAGCTTAGAGAAACAGCTTCAGCAACATGACGGAGACAAATGAGAGACTGTGCTGGGCTGAAGAAAGGAGGAGAGAATAGAGTGGGAGTAGCAATGCAAGTAGTCTCTCAGAAGGAGGATTCATGGTGAGATGCAGGTACAGACACAAAAAAATCAGGAGCTTATGCAGAAAGTACAAGTAAGACATGACAGACAGTTTTTCTCTACTAAGCCAAGAGCACTCACTGTCACTCATTAATCCACTAGACCTTCTCTTTTTCCAACTGACAACTTTTTCTTTTCCCAGAAAAGGAATGCACATTTTGGTCATGTGTTGGTTTTAAACATATTCCATCCAACACTCAAAGTGAGCTGTATTAGGAGGAGGTCTTTCATTGTAGGAACTGACCAGTAGGTACAAATGAATTAGAAAGCAAGCTATCTTCAATGAAACGGTTTGACTGGTAATTACTGATAAGCCTTAGAAAGTACTGTTGCATTTGGTTTCTTCCTCTTTTCAAGGCAAACTATTATGACGGGAATTTGTTTTACTTAAAAATGAAAAACAAACCAAACCAGTTCTTCGAGTGCAGGTAATTATTAACAAACCAAATGACTCAGAAACTAAGTATGAAAATAGGCATAACAGAGTCAATTATTTTTTACAGACATAATGAGGTTTCACATGTAAGCAATCTGCTGCCCCAGATCCTTTGTGAAATATCGGGGGGAAGAGGGCAAGAAGATAGCAGAGGATCATAAACAAAAAAGACAAAGTATTAAAACAATAACTTACTTTAAGAATTTCATCCACACAGCTCACGTCACCAGAAGCAGATGCCTTAAGAGGAAAAGAGACACACATTAGATTTGGGGTCATTTATCATTAGATTTTTATTATTTGTTGCACAGATTCAACAACACTATTAGAAAACAAATTAAATTTAAAGACCTATTTATGATCCCACTATTCTAAATCACAACACTAATTAATCTTTTGACAAATTTCCTTAAATGCAAATTTTTCAAGCTCTAAAAAATTTTAATCACCAACTGTACAAGGATTTGAAGAACTTTGTATTTATCAGAAGTTTTGAAAAATCTTATCTTTCTTATACTTAGATTAGAAATAAATTTTTAAATGTTATTTTGCGGATGGAGCAACTTGTCAAAAATTTGAGTTTATTTATATACAAAATATACCATGATACTGAAATACATTACTTCACATAAACTAACAAACAGAATAAAACCAGCATTATTGAAAGAATACTTGTCTGGAATATGATGGACATTTTACACAGTTTCCTTAAATCACGGCAAAGTTGTTTATTCTAAAGCACAGTCAGGAACTGGAGAGCTAGAGTTTATACTCAAGTCTATCTCCAAGGATCAAGTTGTTTGAAGAAAGAACAAACAACCACTTCACTATTCTCTTCAGAGGAGTAATTAGATGACAACTGCCATGAACAATGAGTTTCCTAAGGCCACAGGAAAAATTTCTAAATGTTCTTAAAACACCATTTCACCTACCCTTGACCCCTTCCACAACCGTTTTAAGCTATGAACTATGTGATTTTCATACTTCTACGAAAAGTACAAAGACTACTTCTAAAATTTTTTCTTTTAAAAGATAAAACTTAAACTATTTCACAGTGAATACTCAATTTCTTTAGTTATTCTGATGCTTTGGCATGCAGTTATAAATACTGTAAATTTCAAACCACCACTATGAATCTAGAGCAGCTGTCTCAAACCCTTAAGTGCAAACAGAGAAAAAAAACTCATGGCATCCAAACCACACAACATTACCATCTTGATGGACGCCCCCCCCCCCAAATCCCAACATTCACTACAATGAACCACAGCCCACATCGCATTCATGAGTATCACAATGAGAATACAAGTTATTTTTTTAAAAAAAAGAACACAAGACGTATTCTTTCATAAAATCAAAAGGAGGAAATCTAAGGTATTGATTTCACAGATCATGCTTTTATTCTACGACTGTCATCTGAATATTTCAAAACAGTGAATGACATTTTCTCTACTGCCCAACAGGGGAAGCTAACAGGTCTACTGATCACTTTGGAGTCAATCACAAGTCTTATTTTTAAACTTATCTATACCTTATTAAAACTGAGACAAAATTTAAGTTCAATTATAATTTCATAGTAAACTGCTTCACAGAGTCGTAATATTAAAAGCTCTAAAGGGCTCCTGGGTGGCTCAGTCGGTTTAGTGGCCAACTCTTGATTTTCGCTCAGGTCCAGATCTTGGGGTGGCAGGAGGTTCTCTCTCTCCTTGCCCCTGCTCCTCCCCCTGCTCTCTGTCTAAAATAAATGGGATAAATTAAAAAATTTTTAAAAAGGCTCTAAATGTGTAACTTACATCCAATGGTTGGGAAGGTATTTTCAGCTTGGTGAGATGTGCTTTGCTACTGGGCTTCAGTTCAGTCATGCTGTTGCCATGGGATTGGCTGCTGTAGTGCTCAGAGGACAGCTTTGGTTCCATGGACTCCTGTCCATCCATGGGCCGCACATAGGCAGTGGGTTTCTGTAACATTGAACTGGACTTTGACATCAATGAAGGTGGGAAAGACTGATTTGAATGCTGCCCACTTGAAAAAGGTACACGGGAAGGAGAATCCCAGTTTGCATCAGGGTCCCGAGGTGATTTGGAACGCTGATGGTCCTTGCTATGGTGATCATTCCCATGAGACCTGGAATGACTGGAGCTTAATGAAGACACAGCCTGGGGTTTTCCAGGGCTGGAAGAGCGTGATTTGGAGTGTTCCGACCCATGCTGGCCTTTTTTCCGATTACTGCTTCCACTACTGCTGTATGAGTCACGGTCATGCCTCTGGCCACCACTGCTGGTGCCACCGCTGCCACCTGCACTGGTCCGCTGGCTACTGTGTCCACTCTGCAAGCCTGAGGACCGTTTCTGAGACTGAGAAGTACTGGGTGCAGGTCCTACTGGAGTCCATTTGCTACTCTGATGAGAGGTCCCATGTCTCTGTTCAAAGAAATTCGGGTTCGATTTTTCATCTGCTGTCGGCGGTACTGTAGGCTTGGGAATTGCAACAAGCTTTGGTATAGATCTGTCTCCTATGAAATCCTTCATTTCATCGTAATTTCCAAGCATACTCTGAATACGACTTGATAGCTTATCTTCTTTGCTAGTCTACAAAAAATTGTAAAATAAAACGATAGAATTAGTATAACGGGAACTAAAAGATGCTTCTATAAATGGACTTTCCAAACTTCAAATGCAAAGGGGTTTTTCAAAGGGAGGCCTTGTATCTCATACCTTAAGGTTAACATCTCAAACGCAAACTCCAGATATATAATTTTTATAGTGGAAAAAATGCATCAAAAGTGAAAAACATTCATGCAAAAACACAAATACTCTATAGGATATTGAGAAGTATGTACAAAAGTTTCCAGAAGGGAAAAAAATCCAAATTTCACCAATAAATATACTGAAACAGTAGTAGAAATCTTTTGAAGAGCAGGAAAAGTAACGGGCCTTTATGTAGTTAAGTTCTAGGTGAGCAAATTAGCCAACACTCATTATTTTGGCAATGTAGGAAAATATTTTATTCCTCGAGTTCAATGTTATAGTTAAAAGGAGAAATAAAAATTTAATGAAACATATTATACCCAACTGACCTTTTAAAAAATTTTAATTCCTTCTGTTACTGTGACTAATTAAGTTAATAAAAGTCAACAACAAATTAAGAATGGAAAATCTACTGATAAAGTTTCAAATATTAATTCTATTAATTCTGAGCAAGAAACACTCCAAGTTTTGAAGTCAATGGTACAGAGTGTAGGTTTTAAAAATCATTCTTGGATAATAAGAAAGTCCAAAATATCCACAAGCTTTAGTACTCTTTCACGTTCACAAACATGAAAGAGTGTAAGCTTACTGATTGCATTAAACAGGAAATCAAGACAGAACCACTATTTATTCTGAGGTTGGCATGAACTGATAAGACTTTAGATCATTTGAAAATCAGTTTGACCCCTATTAAACAAGAGGGGGAAATATATAGCAATTTGTAGACAACATCAAGTTCAGGAATCAAATGTAATTACAAAATAAATGGTTGTATGATTTGAAGATTCTGGACCAAACTCCTGGAGTTTTTGTGAAATGCCTTTAATCCCTAATCCCAAACCCCAGGTTTCGTGTTATCATGTTACACTCATATAAATGATGTCAGTGTAACTGCCTTTAAATGAAAATCCTTAAGAATTTGTAAAACATGGCTTTTATGGGGCGTCTGGGTAGCTCAGTTGGTTAAGGGTCTGCCTTCAGCTCGGGTCCTGACCCTGGGTCCCGGGATCGAGCCCCGCGCTGGGCTCCCTGCTTGGTGAGGAGTCTGCTTCTCCCTCTCCCTCTCCACCCCGCTTGTGCTGTCTCTCTTTCTCTCTCTCAAATAAATAAATAAAATATTTTTTAAAAATGGCTTTTATAGATCTCACAGCTTCTACAAACACCAAATGTTACCAGGGTAAACCTAGAATATGTTGTTATATTTATATTTCATCAGAAAAAAGTCTAACACACTCTCCATCTCACACCATAAACCAACGGCCATTACTGCTGCGATACCATCATACACAGTATAAGTCTTCAAAATGTAAGGGTAGATCAAACGAGCCAAAGCCAAATCAAACATTAGAGACATCTGTGGCCACTACAGCCACATTAGTCATCAGAAGTGACATCGTTCAGTGTTTTATGTAATCCCAAATCAAGTACAATGATAGTTACCAAAATAGCTATTGGTCCACTTTACTGAACATCTCTGACAACAAGCTTTTAATCTAAATTGGATATTGTTCATTAAGCCCATAAAAAAGAAAGATAATTTAGTATAAAACAGAAAAAGGAACCGGACTGATACTGAAGACACATTTATTCAAATACAGTAGCAGTCACTGATATTTAGTAATCTAAATATTTAGTAAACTAAGTAAGCAAATGGCAAGAAACAAGGGAGAAACAAAAGAATCTCTGAAAAAGTTGTCTTTGACATTATGTTATACCCAAAAGAACGTAAGAAACAGTAGACGATCCATACTCATTTACAAAATTTTAATTTAATTCAGAAAGGTGAAATGCCTGCCCAGGGTTAGCAGTAGAGCCTGGGATGTAGATATCAATGTCTGAGCTAATCCAGACCACATTTTCAAGAATATGAGATAGCAACAGAGGTAAGGGAGGAAATTTGGGTTTGAGGATGACTTTAGGATGCTAATCATACTGTTTCTTGATCTGGGTACTGATTATATAAAGTTGTTCATGTTGTGAAAATCTTTCAGCTAAAACACTTGTTTTGTGTACCTTTCTGTATGTATGTTATACTCCAATGACAAGTTTACCCCAAAAGTGTACATTCTCATTTAGAGGAAAGGAAAAATGTTAAATGGAATATATGATAGTAACTCTTTTCTACTATCAAAATTCAAGCTTAAACACTTGAAAAGCAAAAATGTCACACTGTTGGGGGTAAAAAACCATTCACAGGACTACTTACAACTTTGTATGGCTCGGCAAAGAGAGGAGAGCTAGGTGGGAAGGCGTCTTCGCCCTGCTGAATTTCCTGATTCCGCCTTTCCCGTTCTTTCATACGCAGCACATTTCGGTCTTCACGGTTCATGTTGCTAAGAAGAGAAACACAATCTTTGTATCAATCACAAAAAGGAAAATCAAAATTAAAATGCTCTGTACTCATTTTGTGAGTTTAATGCTTCATTCGGAGATTCCCTTTCGACTTCCAAGTAGCAGCAGGCATTAGTGCTGAAGTTGGGTACTGGTAATGGTTTTACCAACTAATACCAATAGTGTCTGGCACGACTACTGAGATAGTAAACACTAGCCCAGAGTATTAGGATCCACCCCATTGAAACACTTAACCTTATCAATTTTTAAGTATTCAGCTAGCTAAAAGTCAGTTAAAACTTAAACATTCAGATAGATGGAAGGTTGTACTTCAGCCCAAATCACGATTCCTACAAGCCTTTTGCGGCCCCCTCTTCAGAAATCTAACTACTCTTTGCCTTCAGTGGCGCACAAACCCGCTCCCACCTACCACTCCCTCCCCCCCGGGGTCCAGCGCTTTTCTCTACTTTGCATCTACCTTATCTTGATTTCTTTTTGTCCCAAACACAGCTTCCTTGGTGTCCATCCTTATGGCAGTTTGACCTCAGCTTTGCTGTTGCTCTAGATTCCCTAAAAAACGACATTTCTGCTCTAAATACAGTAATATTTCAATCAATACCTCAATAAATGGCAAAACTGAGGCTTTCAGTAATAGAATCTAAAATTAACTTGGGTTAGTAATAGTAGTTGAAACTGTACTGAAAAAGAAAGTCTTTTGGAATGGAGGAGAAAATGAGGGTGTCATTTCTATAAACATTACGGCATGTGGTATTTTCACTAAGAACAAACTAAAGAAGATAGTTTGTTTATAGCGGCAGGGACTTATGGTTAAATAGATAATAATGAAAAAGGTTGTCGAACCCTGGGATAAGGGATTACCAGGGACTCTGCAACATTCTTCCCTGGAGTTAGAGTAAACCATCTATCTTGGTTTTGTCTGAGGGGAAGAGGGGCCAGGGACGCAGGGAGCCCTGGTGGAGACTGAAGGAAAAAACCAGGTTATACTTGTAGAGCATTTCTAGCCTTATGATTCATAAATCAAATCTAGTCGGAAAATTAAAGTAAATCAAGATTGGAAAGAAACTGTAACTATAAAATCACAATGGACAGCAGGGGCGCTTGGTTGGCTCAGTCAGGTAGGCATCTGCCTTTGGCTCAGGTTCTGATCTCAGGGTCCTGGGACTGAGGCCTGTGTAAGGCTCCCTGCTCAGTGCGGAGTCGGCTTCTCCCTCTCCTTCTGTCCCTCCTCACTCCCCCCTCCAACCCTGTTCGTGCACTCTCTCTTTCTTAAATAAATAAAATCTTAAAAAAAAAAAAAAAAAAAGAATGGACAGTAAAACCAATATACTCTTGAGGATTCTTAGGTGGTTAGAACAGTGCAAGTAAACATTCAAAAGTAAAAATTTACTATCAAAGCAATTAATATTTAAAAAATATTCTAAGTGTTCCAAATGAATTTTCAGCTTTTTCTATTTGCATAATATTCTAATAAACTTAGACAAGAATATAAGCTATTTTGAGGTATTGAAATAGTATGTGCTTTCTTTGGTCTCCCTGGTACTTAGCACCACACAGAAGCACAAAAAGTATTTGATTCTTTCGGGATGCCTGGGTGGCTCAGTCGGTTGAGCATCCAAGCTCAGGTACATGAATCTGGCCCCACTTGTGTTTGGGACTCTCTCTCTGCCCCTCCCTCCCATTCCCATCCCCACTTGCTCGCTCGCTCTCTCACTAAAATAAATAAATAAATCTTTTAAAAAAAGTTTTTGATTCCTTCTTTAATAAATACTAGAAAATATCTATACTTTGGTATTCAGAGAGTGAAACCAAAGAACGTATATTATCCTCCAGTACACTTGAACCAACTAGTAAGTGTATATCACTAACAATCAGGTTTCAGATAGACCTCTGCAACTATGGTGCCGCTGCATATGAAGTTATTTGTATCCTAAGAGTCTAAGGGGCATATTAAATACTAATTTCCTTGCATTTCCTAAATTCAATTCCTTAAAAAAAGAAATGCCTTCCTTAAACTATGATTTAATTAAAGTGCTAAAATAATGCAAGAAACACTTGTACAGAGTGCCTGGGTAGCTCAGTCACTAAGCGTCTGCCTTCGGCTCAGATCATGATCCCAGGGTCCTGGGATTGAGCCTTGCATTCGGCTCCCTTCTCAGTGGGAAGCCTGCTTCTCCCTCTCCCCTTGATTGTGTTTCCTCTCTCGCTGTGCCTTTCTCTGTCAAATAAATAAAATCTTTACAGGAAAAAAAGAAGAAACACTTGTACATTTATTGTAGAAATAGATCTGATTCCCACAATAAAATTCCTCCTATAATCCAAAAAAAAGTGTTCTCTATTCTTAAACAATGAAAGTCATCTGACTGAATATTCCTTTTAAAAAGACTGCCAAGAAGCAGAACAAAATTAAATGACTGCTTATAAGAACCAATATCCCAGTTGTAGCTCTTATTCTCTAATTTTTTTCTCATCTGCCTTATTTTCACATCTAATTTATCAGATCCACATTTTTCTCCCATGTCTTTAAACATTAGTATCTGCCTAAGATAAAGTTTGCCACAAAGCAATAATTCCAGTAATCAATGTGAGCTCCCCTAAAATTAACATGAAATTTAAATGAGTCAGTTTGAGATATATCTTTGTTGTATAGGCAAACCTATTTCATAGCATTTCCCTCAGGACATCTGCAACTACTATACTGAAGAAGAATTCGGTTAAAATTAGCTAATTGCTACAACAAAACAAAATCTGTGGGACTACCAGAAAAATAATTTTTAAAAGAATATTAGCAAGTAGAAAGGAGAGTTCTCCCTCTACTTAAGGTAAATTGTTTTAAGTGTCCATCAAGTACTTACATTAGGTTGATACATTTATTACAAACAACATTCTATGGTGTAGCATAATGGTGTAGCAATTTCATTGCTACAAAATGGAGCAAATGAGTATACTGAGATTTTTGAGGATCCAAGCATGTTACTATGAGAGATGAGGGATACAAATATACAAAGGAATAGGGAGAAAAATAACTTTTGGGGATTAGGAGCTAGAAATAGTACTATGAACACATGCTTGTATATTAAAAAATCTCTATCAATCTACCGATCGAGAGAAACAGACAGTCTCCATTTCTGTACACTGAAAGAGTCTAGGAGCAGGAACACACCAGAAGAAAGAAGCACGCTCAGCACCCAAATTCTGATTTTTTTTAAAAAAGATTTTATTTATTTATTTGACAGAGACAGACAGACAGAGAGGGAACACAAGCAGGGGGAGTGGGAGAGGGAGAAGCAGGCTTCCCGCTGATCTGGGAGCCCGATGCGGGGCTCGATCCCAGGTCCCTGGGATCATGACCTGAGCCGAAGGCAGACGCTTAATGACTGAGCCACCCAGGCGCCCCCCAAATTCTGATTTCTAATATCATTTCCTACTAAAGTGGAATAGGACTTCTTGGAAAAAATAGTTCATTCCAAGGCTGCAGCAGAGGAAGTCCGAAGAGATCTTAAAACATCTTGTTTCAACAGCAAGAAAATTCACAAAAACAGATGGAGACATCAAAAGGGCACGGGAACCAGACTGAAGGTGCTCTCACCAGTCAGCTTTAGAAACATGAGCATCAAAATAAAGACAAGAATGGAATATAACCAAATGAGCAAAAAAAGAATCCCTGGGGGGCGTGTGGCTAGCTCAGTCAGTAGAGCGTGCTACTCTTGATCTTGGGGTCATGAGTTTTCAAGCACCATGTTGGGAATGGAGCCTAGTTAAAAAAACAAAAAACAGGGGCGCCGGGGTGGTTCAGTCGGTTAAGCAGCTGCCTTCGGGTCAGGTCAAGATCCTAGCATCCTGGGATTGAGCCCAGCATGGAACTCCCTGCTCAGCAGGAAGTCTGCTACTCCTTCCCCCGCGCTCTTGTGCTCTGGCTTGTGCACACGCACTCTCTCTCACGCTCTCTCTCCTTCTCAAATTAAATAAAATCTTAAAAAACAAACAAAAACCCCCCAAAAAACACAAATCCGAGTCCAGAGTGATAATAGCAAAAAAATAAAATGAAGAGAAATAAAGCAGGGAGTAAATGCCCTTCTTTAGAGAAGAATGTCAACTAATAAATGCAGAAGAAATAAAAGAATTAGAAAATCACTTTTTTTGTGACCATTAAAGTAATAATTGAGGCCAGAATCATCAATGGGAAAAAAAAAACCCCAGCAATAAATGCCAAAACCACTGGGCAAAAAGTTGGGGGGGGGAATGGAATCTTCAGTATCATCCCACAGACCCATTAGAAAAAAATCTTTAAAATAGAGAAGTACAGGAAACAATATCTTTAATCAAGCAATCAGACTTAACATTATCAATAATGCGATAAAATGATATCATGTGCCTTCTGATGCGATACACTAAAGATATATCACCACCTAGGTATTCTTTCCGCTAAAAATTTAACCTGAATCTAATCAGGAACAAGCAGACAAAGCTTAAGTCCGCAAAATTGGCCTGGACTCTTCAAAAATGCCTGTATCATGAAAACAAACAAAAAAAGAGGCTAGGGATTTCTTCTATATTCTTATATATTCAAGGAGAGACAACAACTAAAGGCAATGCATGATACACATACTGTATCTAGGGAGGAAAAACTGTTTGTGAAGGGCATTATAGGGAAACTTTGGGACACCTGAATATGAATGGTATTTCAGATAATCATATCAATGCTTAGTTTTTGAACTATGATAATTGTATCTGGTCATATAAGAGAATGTTCTGGGTTCTCAGGATGTACAAAACATACATGGGTGAAATGTCATCATCAGATCTGCAACTCTCAAATGGTTCAGCATCCATCTGAATATAGATCTAGTGTGTGCAGATAGTGAGTGATAAAAAGAGAGAGGAAGAGTGTGTGTGTGTGTGTGCTTGCATGCAGGGAGGGTGGGGGGCAGGAAGGAGGGAGAGGACAAACAGACAAGAATAATGGAGCAGCAGCAACAATTACAATAAAAATATTGACAAGTGGTATATCCAGGTGAAAGGAATATAGACATACACTATATTATAGGTTTGAAATTTTTTTTTAAATGTTTTATTTATTCATGAAAGTCAGAGAGAGAGGCAGAGGCAGAGGGAGAAGCAGGCTCCCCGCCTAGCAGGGAGCCCGATGCGGGACTTGATCCCAGAACCCTGGGATCATGACCTGAGCCAAAGGCAGACGCTTAACCATCTGAGCCACCCAGGCTTGAAATTTTTTTAAATAAAGGACGGAAAGGGTGAGAAAGTTTATATAGTAGAGTACTAGCGGTCTTTTCTAGCATTTTTCAGCCTTGGGATTTACTATCAGATAAACTGTCTCTTCTCAGGGCTTAACGTATTTCTCTCATGTCTAACATGTGCCCCTTCCTATCTCCATGTTCAAACTGATCATCCAATTCTCAACTCCTCCTCTACGTCACTGTTTATTACACTTGAGAAAGTGTAATACTATTCTTGGCTAGCAAGGGACACCATCAACATGCCAAGCTTCAGTTTCCCTAAAGTAAAGAGGCCTGCCAAATTTATCTAAGGCA